GTCGTTTTTTTTTTAATTATTTCTCTTTTTTATAAATCAATAGTGTCTAGTAACCTGCTAAATAATAAGACCATTCAGCCGTCAAATTTGATTTTGACGACCACGGTGACTAGCTACACCAGGCCGGACATATTTCGCATCTGACTCAACCCCATGCAACAAACTTGATAATATGTGTTCATTATGGTCCATTCTTCCTCGACGAACAAATACATAAGTGGCAATTTAGTCAAAGACGAGAAAACAGCACAAGAAATTTGCCTTATTTACACGTATCGGCAATGCAAGCTGCCCAGCGACTTCCCCTCTGACGTCACAAGGGGAATTTCTGTATGCAAACGAGAAGCTAATAAGGAGCCTCGTTTTAAAATACACAAAAAAAAGTTTCCGTAGACTGAGTTTAAAACACATTTTTTCACTTAAAAAAAATTATTTATGCTTAGAAACATAAAAATTAATAATATTTATGTATCAATAGATAATTGTAGGCGTGAAAATAGCAGCCCTTTCACAGGCACTTTAACTGACTGCATCTCCGCATGCAACTCGAATCTAGTATCACTTTCAATGTTAACGTGTTCTCTAGTGATGGTAGATTCGGCAACCATAGTAAATAAATTGCGAAAAGCCTCGACGATGTTTACACCACCACAACGACTAAATGTCGACAATGTTACAAATTTGAAGACATGTGTATAGAATGATGTTCATTCCATTATTAAAATTGAACAGACCTACTCGCGTATAAGGCAATATTGGCGCATCCAAGCCTACGAATGCAACAACGAATGTTCTTTCTTTATTCCGAATATCCTGAGTGGAGTTTCAACCAAATATTGTTACTAGTATTTTGGATAACACTTGCAGCACACTTAAGTAAGCAAACATAGATTATGTAATCATATTTGTACAACGTAACTGTGTTGTTCTACGAGGCCTGAAAATAGTTCAATTTGATTAATAATTGTTGACCATTGGAATAACTAACAAAACTGATAACGAGCAGAAATTATAGCTTTATATTATCTACAACACAGAACCATGAAATACGGTGTTTACAGGTTTCTCAATGTCAGATATTACCACAACTACTATGGTTTGTTGTCCATTTCGGTCATTTTCAAGCAATTCAATTCTAGCACAAACCCGGTCAATCAGAAGAGTACTCTTAGGTCATTTTTTTAGTGATTTTAGATGTGGTATAAATGAACAATAAGTCTTCAGAATTCTTTTATAAATTTACACATTCTAGAGATTTTACTACAAAAATGTAAAAACAGACACCAAATTCCAGTAAAACATAAACTCAGACCTGTTCAACAAACCAGAAATGTTACAAAAAATAGTTTTGACCTATATTTTTTTAGTGTTTTATTCTGCAGTTTTCGATGAACACAATAGCCCTTTTAATTTCTTCACAATACTGAATCAAAGTCTCAATAATGGATTATTTACTTTACGATCATGTGACTAACTGAGGGATGTGCCTGATAAAACTTTGATTTTTATTTAAGTTAAAGTCTGGGCTTTCATAAAATATTTATTACTCTACTGGGAATGTAATTAATATGTATTTTACTTCAGGAAAAATTCTACTACATCCTGAAGTGGTTAATTTTATGCACAAGACACAGCTATTACAGTTCTTATATTTGCTATGATTGTTTTCCATTTCAGATGCCCAAATGTTGATAAAAAGTCAGTTATTTCAATTTGGGAAAGATAAAACTTACCAATAGGGTCAAGAAGTAACAATGTTGCAATGGCAGCCAGTGAGCACTCCAGCAAAGCAGATATATGTAATATTATTGCTCTGTAATAAATATAGATATAAATATGATTATAGTGATACACACGGAATTTTGTGTAAAATTACAGTATTAATTACAGTAATTAGGTCAATTGTGTGTGCTGTGTTGAGTCACAAAAGTACAGCCACTATAGTGTGCTGTGTCAGCAGAAATTGAGAAATAAACATTCTGTTCCCCCTGTGGCATAATGGTATGTCTCAGAGAGAAGCATGATTATTGTGAAATACCTTGGAATGTCCAGTGCTGTTGCCCATTAAAATAAATATGACATCATTGACCTGAGGCCCCTATTTTAAATAGTTTATCCCACTACAACATTTGTCATTCCCTTGTTTGTGCTCTATTTATAAACACCCAATCCTCTATTTTCAAAACAACTTCCTTGCATGCCAAAACACCCTATCCTCGGGGGCGGACATCCGGGCATTTTCACCGCCTGCATGCTCCCGCCTGGCAACCCTCACGGTGAAAACAAAGGCCAAAAACTCGCAGAAAACGGTACTTGGGGATGGTTGTTGAGACTCCTCTGAACAGTGTAACAAGATTAGCCCTACGTGTGTAACATATATAAATTTGGTTGTTCAGGATTACTTCAAAGTTGAGTTTGTGTTGTTTTCTCAAATTTTCACCGGCTCGACCGGCGTTCTACAGCAGCATGCACAGAGCCCATAGAAATGCATGGTACAGTGGTGCGCGTCTTAGCAACGTGGAATGTCTGTGACGTGGGTCCGTCCCGAGGATATAAACATTTGCATGGGATGTAAACCTTTGATCAAGAACGTTTTCACTTTTTATCAGAATGCATTTATTTACAAGATATTGTAATAAACACATCAAGTGAATATCAGGTGCTAAGCTGTGCATGTCTGTATGTCTATCATGCTATGTAACAAAGAGTCCAATGAAATGGTTATTATGTAACATGTTATCATATGTTTTCATCATTAGTGTTGGAGAAACATTGATCAATAGTGTACAATATGAATAAACTGACAGCAATACCTGGTTAAAAATTTTTGACTTACAGGGAGGTTATCATTGCACAGCGCTTGTTCGAATTTCATGTAAACAAACAATGTATTTTACATGCAGGGTGTAGCATTACGTCCATTGCCCTTTAATAAAATGTCTGAAAACTGATTATATGTATTGTGTTGTAAGCCCCACATTTTGCGCATGTAAACGCCCTTTGATGAGTATCTGAAACTATCGATGTATTGTGGAAACATTCAGCTTTACCATATTTGAAACAGTTTATATATTGGCTAATTGGCAAACGAGAAAACATAAAGCAAAATTTCCAAAAAGACAGTACAGCGGGAGTATCAATCGATGCACAGTGCAGGTCGACGTGACGATTTACTGTCTGAGTGCATACTTTGAGGTATCCTTGTAATAACCTTATTATTATACATCTTTTCCTTCCAGGGATACATCATGGGAATGCCGAAATCCAAAAAGTTTAGAACAGAATCAGCGAACTTCTTTGACTGGAGTCCGGTGAAACCCTGGTGGCAGCCATGTTTGTTTTATTATTATTATTAAAGGACGCTTACGTGCGTAATCATTCCATATTTGGAATTTGCATTTCCTAATATGATAAAAATACACCGTAAAATACCGCAAATTACAACATGCTGTAACTTATGGTGTTACAGTGATAGATGTATAATAATATAATATATCCAGTTTCCAGCAAAATCAACGGTCTACACAATTTTAACTATCACTACATGCAATTGGTGATTTTGAAATGCCAGATTTTTAAACTATAAATCATGGCAGCTATCAAAGGATGTCTCTATTGGTGCATCTCATCCTTGAATTTACAGCAGTATAGTGATTAAAACAACAGTGTTTAGTATCTATTATATGTCACTTAAAGTAAAAGATCACTTTTTGTTCTTGCTTTAAATCCTGATCACCTCTGTACCAATTAATTACATATAAAATAATTTATTTTCACTTGGAATTAACTTTCGCTTTCAGTGAAAATAAAATCCAACGAATATATCTTTTTTCTTATATTTTACATTCAACTCATCAAAAATCAGTTAAAATAAATGCCATACAAAACACCCAAAAAGCCATTTCAGCGAAAATTAATTGCAGCTACAATAAAGAATTTTACAGTACCTTCTGTATTGAAGACTCTTCCACAATAATTCTGTTTAATACATAGCTTAAATCTTGTCATGCAGTGTGAATTAATTAAACAAAAAATGTAATTTACATGTAATGTATACATTGCATTGAATTCATATCAAACATACTAGTACTTAATGCATATAAAGTTTACTCACCTCTTTTTCTGCTTTGCAAAATATTCAATAAAGAACCAGTTTAACACAAGTGCCAATAATGCCATAAACCCCAGGTACAGCCAGTCATAAAATGTAGGACTGTCTGTGCATGGAGTACATATGGATGATCCATTAGTAGTTTCACCCCATGGGCAAGGCTGTAAGAAAAAAATTCAATCAATTTGAGACAAAGTTTTTATAGAATTTAATTCAATTCAGTTTCATCTTCACTGTAAGTCTTGATGTTTATTTTGAAGTGTGGAAGCTACTACAAGTGATTATTTCCACAGAAAGAGCATGATTAATATATAGGCAATACCATTCAATTATGATTGGTCATGAAGCAAGGCCATGCCAATTAAAATGTTACTTACTCAAATTAAAATATTAATACTTATTAATCCTCTTTTGTCCGATGGCAATTACCCCATATCTACCAAGTCTGTCATACTTGCAACAGGTTGTATGACCAAGATTTTTACCAGCATTTGCCCGACAGAGTACGACGGATTTGGGCTGCCGAAAAAAATATTCATGCAAGCCCAACAGGCTTGGGCCAAACAGTTAGTACTGGAGTATCAGACTTGGGCTACTAATATTTTTATTTCTGGCATTGTATCCCTGAATTGCAGGTACTTCAGAGTTCTCACCTGCGGGGACTTACACCTGTGATACTTTAAATATATATAGTGTGTAGTATAAACTGTCTTCTCTAATCTAATCTGTAAAATATAAATATATGAACATGGTCAATCACATGTCTGCAAATGACCATGTAGGATCTTACTCCCCCCACCCCCACCCCTGGGGACCAGCTAACTAAAATTCTTATATTATTGTCATTTTCTCCCTTTCTTCTGGGTCTTCTTTCCTCTACCACTACCACGACCACATCCCCTTCCCCGTGGCCTTCCCCTTGAGGTAATAGCTTGTTCTTTTGAATTAATAGTGGATCTTTCTGTGCTAGTATTGGCTTGTCCGCTTGAGGTACTAGCTTGTTCCTGTTGATTTGCAGTAGATACTTCTGTGACAGTAGTAGTGGCTTGCCCCCTTGGATTAGCACCAGCTTGCCTCCTTGTAGCAACAACTGTGGTCTGTGTTCTTGGTAGAGAGGTTGATTGATCAGCATTCCATCGTTTGACTGCCTCAGCTATGTCAACTCTAACAGTTTGGGTCTCTGCTGTCTTACCCTTACCACCACAGGTAGCTTCTACATGGTATGGCAAGAAACATGGTTACAGAGGTGAATACTA